TTGGGCACTAAAAATTTTGTCAATCTGTGACTCATCCAGAAATTCTTTTTCTCAATGAAGTCAAGAACCTAGGTCCTTCCCTTCAAAGAACCATCTTGGATCCCTGATGAGTCTTGGTGAATGAAATATCATTAGGAGGCATATGATTGTAATTTCACATTATCACAGACAACAAGAGTGGTCAATGTGAGGGATTCTAGTCAAAGTAGTTTAGTATGATCTTGTTAAAACTGGACAACACAGAGTTGAACACAGAAACTCAAAAGTGGAAGGATGCTTAGAAAGTTTCCTGGATTTTTCTGCCTGGGTTGGCTTCAAACTGTAATCCTAAAATCTCAGTCTCCTGAGTAGCTAGGATTACAGGAGTGAGCTACCCCTGCCTGGCTTAGATCTGCATTTTTACACAAACCCAAGGATCCAAAGCTCGCCCAGAGTAACTCTACACATACTAGATCAACACCTCCACGACACTCCAGATTACATATTCTACAGTCCCAACCAACCCTTCACCGTATCACCTCCCTTAACCCTGGCCCCAGGAAAGCTATGTTATCTCTGGTATTGTCAACCACGTACTTAGCAGTTTACACTTGGCGGATCCTTACCATTCTAACAACCACTCCACCCTAAGGATAAGAGGCCTCATCTCCACTCAGGAAGTAGGAAGGGGGAGAATTGTGAATTGGGGGGGGGGGGGGGGGGGGGGAGAAAGCGCTGAAAGAAGTGTATTTAATCTACCAAAGACAGACAGATGGACAGCTAAGAGTCCTTAAGAGACAGAGCAGGCAACTTCAAGGAGATACTTCTTATTTCTGAGAACTGGATGGAAGGATGGAGGCAGGACTTACATATACTTTTACTAACAAACCTTTCCATAAATTACTCTCTAGAAACAAAAATGCCCTTTTTCCTTTGCCTTATACCTTCTCTAAAATGAACTCTAAATAAACTGTCATCCAATGCTATCTCTTTTGAAAACTACATATTATCCAGGTATTTCCCAGGAATATGTGTCATCTATGTTAATAAATTGCTTTTCTCTTGTTAATTTCTTTCTTTCCTTTTTTTTTTTGTGTGACATTCTTGGGACTTGAATTTAGGGCCTAGTTCCTGGGCTTTTTTCAATCTCCCCCCCCCCCCCCCCCTCCCCTCCATCTCCCGAGCCACCTCCACTTTGGTCTCTTTGTTGTTTATTTGGAGATAAGAGTCTGGTAAGACTTTCCTGCCTGCGCTGGCTTCAAACCTTGATCCTCAGATCTCCACCTCCTGAGTAGCTAAGATTACATGAGTCACCGGAGCCCAGTTTGTTGATGTTTTTTTATGACAGGTTTGTTTCAACTGAGCACTTAGAGGCGTTATTTAATTTTTCCCCATTATCTCAATGTGTATGAAAAATACTATCACTTTTCTGCATGTTCTACAGCCTGGAAAACCTGGAGGACTCGTTCTTCTGAAATAAATAATGACAAAATATGGGGAGCAGGTAAGATGCTAAAAATGTCTAAATGTATTTCCACCAACTTTTATGATCATTCCTGAACAGAGTGCTCTGACCCCACAAAGACCCCACAGAGAACTGTAAACAGCCCTATTAAAGTATGCACTGGACCTTAAAGGAAAACATAGGTTAAAATGTCAACCAACAACAAATGGTCTCCTACAGAATGACAGTGAATAATGACATGCCCTCTGGTGTAACTTTTGAAGTTGTAACTCTCCAACTCCAGAGGTTCCAGTATGTCAGGTCTGGCCACTTATCTCAATACGCTTATTAAAGAGATGAATTGTGGTGAAGCTAGAGAAATTGTTTTTGTTTGTTGTGCTTGTCCTAGGACTTAAATTCAGGGCCTAGATGCTGTCTGGTTTTGTTTTGTTTTTGTTCTCAATGCCAATATTGGAGCCACAGCTCACTTCTGGCCTTTTTGGTAGTTAATTGGAAATAAAGAGTCTCAGAGACGTTCCTGCCTTCTTGTCCCAAGGAGAAATTTACAAATTGGTTAGTTACTAGAAATCCATGTAATAAGTGAAAGTACTTGCTCTCTGAAGACAGCCTTCCCTATAAACTAAACAAACCAAAACTCCCACACATTTCAAATGATTACCTTTATTGCCTTTAATTCTAACCTACCTAGGACATTAGGACATGTTTGTTCTCCAATGCCCAGTAACCTGAGGGAAAAATCCAGAGTCACCCAACCCTATGGAACTCTTCCCTCTGCAATTCTTTACCTGCCCCTTTCCACCCAGTGAACATACAAATATTTGTTCAGCCCTAAGACTGAACAAATCTACTTCCAAAATACGATCATGCCTAGGAGTGAACAAAGGACTGTATTTAAAAGAATGCTATTTTACAGTCTCTAATCTGGTATGCACTTCTAAATGGCAAACAAAACTTGGTGTTTCAAATAAGGATTTAAGCTTGTCCATTGATACATACAGCAACACTGAATAAATGGCACAGACAAAGGCTTATAATCTTATGTGTCTTCTAAATGGAAACATTCTGACATTCAAATTTTACTTTTCTCCCTTTTGTCAACCTCCTAGCAGATTACCAGCCTCTGTAATACTTAAAAGGGATTTTGAAAATTTCACTTCAAGCTGGTTTTTGGAACAGAATCTTTCCTATGAACTTAACACAAAATGTATTTTGATTATTAACCTTTTTTTTTTGTCGGGGTGGGGCTTGAACTCTGGCCCTGGGTGCTGTCCCTCAGCTCTTCAGCTCAAGGCTAGTGCTCTACTATTTGAACTACAGCACCACTTCCAGTTTTTGCCAGTTTTTTGGAGATAAGAGTTTCATGGACTTTTCTGTCCAGACTGGCTTTGAACTGCAATCCTCAGATATCAGCCTTCTGAGTAGCTAGGATTAAAGGCAGGAGCCACTGGCACCCAGCTGAGCAAGCATTTTTAAAAGTGCTTTTTTAGCTTCCTTTTTATTTTTTATGTATACTGCTTGTACTGCTATCATTAGGCTAATCAGCATTCCCAACTTATTATTTTGTTACATTATTTTGTTACATTCAAGCTCCTTTCCTCCAGTTTGTTGTTGTTGTTTGCTTTTTTTTTTTTGGGGGGGGGGTGTCGGTTGTAGGGCCTAGACTCTGGGCCTGGGCACTGTCCCTCAGCTCTTCAGCTCAAGGCTAGCACTCTACCACTTGAACCACAGTGCCACTTCCAACTTTTTCTGCTTATGTGGTGCTGAGGACTCAAACCCAGGGCCTTATGCATGCAAGGCAAGCACTCTACCATTGAGCTACCTGCCCGGCCCTTTCTGCCAGTTTTTTTTTTTTTTTTTTTTTTAATATGGTATGTAATAGGTTAGGGCTCTAGCTCAATGGTAGTGTTTGCCTAACATGCATGGAGCCTTGGATTCCAGTTAGTTAGAACCCAAAAAGTGCAGAAAATAGGCAAGAAGATGGTTCCACACCAGAACCGGCACAGATTTATTAGGGAGAAAGCCTATGGAGGGGCTTCCAGCAGGGGGCCTCCAGCAAAGACCTAGAGCCCACAGCGGCTTACAGACTAAGGTTTTATAGAGGAAGGCACATAGGTCATGGTAGAGGGAGGGGGGCTAGCTGTTCACATGTGCCTAGAGGTGAGGAGACATTTGTACAGGTTCAGGGTTGCTATAGGGGTAACTAAAGATGTAGCCTGCAGTCCCTTGGGCACAGAATGTCACCTGTGGCCAATTGGGGTGCAAGGGATCAGGCCAGATATTAAGTGAGAAGAGAAAGGTATTTTTCTGTTTTGAGCTGATGTTTAGCAAAATCTTGGGCAGGAGCCTCAAGATGGAGGTATCCTGGCTAAGCAGACCTCATATACAGCACCAAAAAAACAAAAATAAAGCAAAACAATGTTCTGCCCTATATTGCTCAAAATGTCAGAAAACTTTTCTTAGAAATTTTACCACAAAATATACAAATCATAGTAGTTTAAAATCTATATTTTTGTCATACATAAGCCACTTTTTTTTAACACCTAGAAAAAACTTGATGTTGTGAAGGAGGGACTGTTTGTCCTCTGTTTGCCCTAGTAAATATATTACATATACATGGGATGGGAGATCTTCTTCCCTAAGAATCACCACACTGGCATAGAGCTTTTCCTGTTTGTGTTTCCTCTTTCAGAACAACTACACAAACACAATGTTGCACCTTTGGTTGGAGGAAGAATGGCCTGACCACACCCAACTAAACAACACTGCTTGTGAATTTTAACACAACTTTATAAGATGTTGTATCACTACCTCTACTTTTAACAGACACCTTGTACTAGAGAACATATTTTTTAAAAAAAATACTAGTTATTTCCAAGACAGCACTATAAATACAATGAGGCATAAAGCCATGGAGCCAGGTGCAGGAGGCTCGTGCTTGTAAGCCTAGCTAGCTGATCAGGAGGCTGACGGCTGATGACTGAATTTTCAAACCAGCCCAAGCAGGAAAGTCCAGAAGACTCAGGTGTCCAATCAACCACCCAAAAGCCTGAAAGCAGAGCTGTAGCTCAAATGGTAGCGCACTAACCCTGAGCGGAAGAAGCTCAGAATCAGTGCCCGGGCAACCCCCTTCCCCACCCGTCACTGGCGGACTCTGTCCTCGATTTTAACCCCTCATTCTTGTTTATTTAGACCCTGGCATGGCAGGCTCGTGTTCTACCACTGAGCTGTGACCGTCCACCCTGAACTGCCCAGTCACAGGTTGCTTGATTGGTCCATACTGGGGTGCGGACCCCAGGCATTGCGCATGCTGGCTCAACTGAGGCTTTCCCAGCTGGGCCACGCCTTCCTTTCTTGCTGGTTAATTGCGGGCTCACGGACTGAAAACCAAGCTTTACCTCCAGGGCCAATCAATCGTGGAGTCTGGGCGGGGAGCGCTTGCCTGGGTCCGCCGAGGTGCTCGGCTTTCTTCACAGCTGACTGGACTTCCGGCGGCCACGTGCTGTGCGCACGCGCGCGCGCTCACGTGGGCAGCTCTCTTCCGGGTACTGGCGCTGCTGTGGCGGCTGCGTGGCCCAACGGCGCTTCCCGTGGCCGCCATTGCCCTCGCTGCGTCTCTCTGCTTGGCGGGACCGGCTCGCCCGTGGTCCAGGTGAGTGGGATCTGGACTCCGCGGGCCGTGGCGGCGGGGTGTGGGCCGCGGCCAGCCTCAGGTCCCGGCTGGTGGGGGAGGCCAGGCCCGCGGGCCGGGTGGGAGCCGCTGGGCGCCCCGCCCGGGCCGGCGCGCAGCGAAGGAGACGCTCGCAGTACGTGCGGCCTCCACGCTCGCAGTACGTGCGGCCTCCACGCTCGCAGTACGTGCGGCCTCCACGCTCGCAGTACGTGCGGCCTCCACGCTCGCAGTACGTGCGGCCTCCCGCGCTCTTAGCGACCGGCACCTGGCTTTTCTGGTAGTCTTCAGGTAGAATTGATTAAACCCGTTTTTATTCCGTGTTTTATTCCCCCCCCCCGCCCGCCCCTCCCCTGCTTCCTCCCTCCTCTTCCCTTTACTTCCCCTTCCTTCCACCCCTGGCCTCGGAGCCTCTGCCCCGCTTTCCCCCCTTCCTCCGGGCTGTTCCCACCCTGCCTGGCTCATTAACCCCTGTAGTCTGTAAAGGGTGGACAGTCGCAGTTCAGGATCCTTCTCTACTTCCCATTCCCCAGAACCTACCCAGGACAAAGAACTTTTTCTAATCGACCTGGGTCTTTGAGACAGAGGACTAAACACGGAAGATTCTGGGTGGTTGTCTTACGGTGTGGATGGAGAAGCGGAACAGACTGCACAACCAGAAACGAGAATGAAAGAACACTAATAATACTGATGGCTTTTGTTTTCTTAAATTCCAACAAGTTAGCCTGTGTAGTCCAGCCTCTAGATTGAGATCCTCCTGCCTCAGCCTCCAGCGTGCTGGGCTGGAATTACAGCACTCCCTGCCTTTTTTTCCCCCCCTCCAGTTCCACCGTTCTGGAGATAGTGGCGCTGTGGTTCAATTGGGAGCATGCTAGCCTTAAGCAAAAGAAGCTCAGGGACAGTGAGTGCCCAGGCCCTGAGTTCATGCCCCAGGACTGACAAAAACAAAAACAAAAATTAATGAATTTGTGGTGGCTTCAAAATAAGTCCATAAACACTAGGATACTCCTTCATTATGAAATGAAGTTTAAGAGCTGAAAGAATGGCCCAATTAATAGCAAGTGAAGCCCCGAGTTCAAGTCCCAGTTCTGCCAAAAATAAAGATGAAAGTTAATTTTCTTCCTTTTGAATGTGGGATGTTCCCGGTTAATTTAAGTGGAACATTGGAGTAGTCTATTTACATTACATTTGTCACCATTTCCTGGCTTTTTCAGAAATCCTTTTGAAAGGTGAAGTGGATCTTGAGCTCAGCATATGAGTGAAAATGCTTTTGTGATACAGATAAATATGCAGCTCCATTCACCTGTTTTCAGTTATCTCCTTAAAGTTTAGTTGCCAAGAACACCATTAATTGTTTTTTGATAACGAATCTATTTTAGTTGGAAGAAGAGAAACACTTATCTCGGATATAGTTGCTTCTCTAAATCATTCAAATTACATAGCCAAAATTAGTTTTGTTTTTTTGGTCTAGCTTAATATTTCTTAAACAATGTTCATTTATATGGGAGGTGGTATTGGGGCTTAAACCAAGGCCTTAGTGGTGCTGTCCCTTAGCTTTTTTGCTCAGGGCATGTGCCCTACCATTTGCAGCACAGCTCTCTACTGTGTCTTTTTGGTAGTTAATGGAGGTAAGAGTCTCACAGACTTTCCTGCTAGGCCTGGCTTTGAAACACTATCCTCAGAGCTCAGCCTCCTGAGTAGCTAGGATGATAAGCATAAACCACTAGCATCTGGCTTGTGACTTGTTTCTTTGTTTTGTTTTTTTGAGACAAGGCCTTTCCATGTTTCTTTAGATGGCCATAAATTTGTCAGATAGTTAATCCTCTGGCTCAACCTCCCAACTTGCTAGGACTGAGATCACATATCGCTGTGCCAAGTTCATAGTATTTATTTTTGTTTAAGGTATAGTTGACTTGTGTGCCTGTCTACTGAAAAAGGTTTAAGCATGCTAGTGAGCATACCATCTACCACCAAGCTACACCCAGAACTGTAGTTGGAAGTTTTTTTTTAAATGTATTAAAATCCTTTGGTGATACTTTCTGGTTTTTAGAAAACATTCTTGTTGCCTTTTACCCTTGACTCCTTTGGCCATATCAATTATAGTCATTTCTAGCCTAATTACCTTTAACCCCAGTTTCTGCTTCATTTGTTGCCCTGATTCACTTCACTGTTTTCTGTTGATCACCTCTATCTTGTTTTCATTTTTTGACTAGATAAATTTTTGGCATTCTCCTCTTGAATTCATTCATCAGCATGTCTTCTCACAAGACTTTCAAGATCAAGTGTTTCCTGGCCAAGAAGCAAAAGCAAAATCGTCCTATTCCACAGTGGATTCAGATGAAAACTGGTAATAAAATCAGATACAACTCCAAGAGGAGACACTGGAGACGAACCAAGCTTGGTCTGTAAGGAATTGCAGGAGAGATGGCACACATATCTTGCCATATCAAGAGGAAAATGTCATCACTGTCTTGATAGTTGAACGTGTTTTGTTGGGAATATGATTTCTCTGTTTCTGTGCCATGCTAGCAGATTGATTAATAAATATGGAGAAAGTTTTGTTTGAAAGAAAAAAATTTGGTTGTATGCAAAAATAAAACAAAATTGTTTTGGTTGTTGCTGCTGTTGCTGTTTATTTTGTGGTGCTTTGGATTTAACCCATGGAATTGTACATCCAGGCAAGTGCTCTATCACTGAGGAATATCCTCATCCCTTAACAAAGTATTTTTTTGAGGTCAGGTCTTGTTATGAAGCCCAGGCTGACCTCAAACTCACAATCCTTCGATTTCAGCCTACTGAGTTCTAAGGTTACAGGTGTGAACTACTTACACATAGCTAACAGATGTTTTAAGAAGAAATATGTCACTTTGAGACCATCCAAGACTCCATAATATTGTCACTACACTTTAACTGCTAATAATGGGTATTTTCTCAGAATTGGTGCTATAGCTAAAAGTGATAGAGCACTAGCCTTGAGCAAAAGAGCTCAAGGATATAGCCCAGGCCCTGAGTTGAAGCCCTATGACCACCACCACCAACAACAACAAAAAAATCCTAGAAAAAAAATTCTAGCTGGGTGCCGGTAGTTCATGCCTATAATCCTCGTTACTCAGGACGCTGAGATCTGAGGATTGAAGTTCAAGGTCAGCCTGGGCAGGAAAGTTCATGAGACTCTTAATTCAAATTAACCACCAGAAAACCAGAAATGGCGCTGTGGCTCAAGCAGTAGAGTGCTCACCTTGCGCTGAAGAGCTGAGGGACAGCGTCCAGGCCCAGAGTTCAAAGCCCCATGACGGACAAAAATCAAATCTGAAATACTGGGTGATTGCTCTTGGATCCGCCAAGACCTTTCAAATTTTTTTTTCTTTGTTTTTAGTGTGTGTGTGGTATTGAGGGTTTAATTTAGGGCCTTTGGCATTCTAAGCAAATACTCTATACCATTTGAGTCATGCCCTAGCCCTTTTGTTTATATTTTGTTTTTGAGAGATGTCTTTTTGAGATAGAATCCTGACTCTGCATCCACCTAACCTAGTTGTGCATACAGGTGTGCACCAGCATATCCCAACCACTGAACAAATGACAGAACAAATGATAGAAAGTGAAAGCTCTTAACTATCTGATATGTTTCTGGATTTTTTTCCCCTTTCCTGTAAATAAACTTTCATGGCTTTGCCAGCTTTGTAATACCTTTGTGGTCTTTGTAATTTGTTTTCCTAGTTATTGCCAGTGGAAGCATGAGCCAGCATGATCTTCAGGGGTGGGCTGCCTCTTCATCTATGGTTCCCACTGCAACTATTCAGCTCTGTCATAACACAAAAGCAGCTGCAGATAATAATGCAAGAATAAGCATGACTGTTCCAATAAAATACTTAACCAACTGATCACATGAGGTGAGCAAGTCTTAAGTCTGCATACCACAGACGAAGCCCTCCAAAGGCAATTTTTTTAGGCTATAATTTTTTTGTTTAGATAAAAATCCATCAGGCATTTTATAACAAGTAATTCTAGTAACTTAGTACCATCTGCTAAAAACAAAACAGTTAATGTGAACCATTATTTACTATATTTCTGAATTCAATATGGTAAGGTAGTAAATCCAAATTAAATGTCCTGGTGGGCCTGTGTTTATCTAAAGATAGGGTTAGGCCATATTACCAGCATTGGGGAGGCCTGGATGATAACATCGATAACCACTGCTAGAGCAGGAGAAATTGCAAATTTGAGGTCAACTAGGCTATAAAGATCCTGACTGTAACCAATAACAAAAAACGAGATCTGTTGGGCACAGTAACAGGATAGAATGTTAGGGAAAATATGTTACAATTTGGAAGCAGAACTCCTTTTACCCTGGGAAAACTTGTCCTTAATGCCGAGACTGACCTGCATTACTGAGGATAACTTTAAAATTACTTGCCAACATCCACAGTACTCAGCTTCACCAAAGTATCCATACTCACATTCAACAACATGGGTAACAGTCCTGCCAACTTAACACGAAATTTAACCATAATAACCACTTTGAAAAGCACATTTACGCTGATATTTGTCCTGTCATAGTGAACTCATTAGTAATTATGTTGTACTTTCTCCTGCTCTAAAATTCAATTCTGGACTGAAGGCATGCACGGCTCAAAGGAGCATGCAAGTCAAGTAAGCAAACCCAGCTTACTTGAAGCCCTAAGTTCAAATTCCTGTACACGTGCCCTCAAAAAAATGTGTTTTGATATGTAGTGGAGAAAGGTATATAATAAATGGTATACTCAATAGCTTTGTGGACAAGTTCATTTTCATTTTATGAACTTAAAAAAGGAGTATCCATTATGTACCAGAGAATAGAAATGCGAATTTAGTGATTATGGGAAAGTGCTCTTTATTATATTTCTAATAGTAGTTGTAAAAAAAGAAAGTTTTATGAAGCACTATAGGTCAAGCATTCTTGTAAGTACTTGTGCCTAAATTATTGTTCCTACAATGCTCATAAGCCACTTAAGAGTCTCATACAAGAAGATTGTGAGTGAGAGGCCAGACTTGGCTATATGAAAAGAAAAACATTTGGCACTTTATATTGTTCATATAGTTGTAAGGGTTATGTTTCAGTGAGGAAATGGAAGAATGGAGAAATTAAGGTTTATAATTTTCTTTTGCTTTTATTTTAAAATAATTTTTTATTGACATTAATGACATAACTTTCACAAATTTCACAGTATTGTGAGATAATGAGTCTTAAAAGTCATAAACACATTTTAACCTTCACAAGGCAAATTGTCATTATTATGGCCTATAATGTTTATGAATTCTATGAACTTTGACAATGCTATTTCTTCCATATCGGGTGATAACGTACATTTCTTTCCTTTTGCTTAGTGTAAGCTGTTCCCTCTTTCCCTCTCATTCCCTCCCTGCCATCACTGAGAAATTAAGATTTAAACACAAACTAGATCACTTCTCATGAGGGAGGTAGTCTTGTCTACCCTGCACAAGACACTGGCACGATCCCAATTGTGAAATAAAAAACAAGCCACTCCAGATACTTGAAAATCTCATGATATTTAGGTACAGAGAATTAAGTGCTTATATACACTGCTGGGCAAGGTGATGCACACCTACTCAACTCCTTGAATGGAGGAACTCTAAAAGGTGGTTGTTTGAGGCCACAGTAACACCTCCATCAATAAGGCAGGAATCCCAGCTGCCTGTCATCCTAGCAAAGGCAAAGGCGGTAGAAGAGGTCCGAGTCCTACTCGTGGCAAAAGCATGAAGACTATCTGAAAAAGCCAAAAAGGCTTGGGTGTGGCTAAAGTATGAGGGAAAACCAGGCTAGTAAGGGAAGGACTTGGGTTCTTTTGCCACTATCTGGAAAAAGAACAAACGCTGCTTGTTATTTCACCGTTCTATGAGAAGTAGACACAGCTGGTCACCAGGAGCTCACACCAGTAATCCTAGTCAAGTTGGAGGCTGAGATCTAGAGGATAGCAATTTGAAACTAGTCCAAGAAGAAAAGTTTGTGGGATTCCACCAAGAAAATAATCAGCAGAAAAGCCTGGCTGGGGTGTGGCTCAGGTGGCAGAATACCAACTGAGCAGGCAAAAGGCCTGGAGTTCCATCCTCAATACCACCAGAAAAAGAGTAGACTTGGCTGGGAATTCTGCTTAACAATTTTCAGATGGCTGACCTCAAGACACCAGCCAACAACTGATTCAAAGAAAAAACTTTGGATCTCAATGACAATTTACTTCCTTTTCATGATTTCTATGTGCCTATCATCAAACAACTGTCCACAAAAGTTGAGTCTTATTGCTTTGAATCCCTATCAGTTTTCTGTTGGATATATCTGATGCGTCCTTAGCCTCATGATAAGTTCACGATTACATTGTATTCACCTAGAAAATCCAACCTAATCTCTGCTTTTTAAGGCTAGCTGATTTGTAACCATTTGCAAAGTCCAATTTGCCATGTAATCTAGAATAATCATGACAGAATACTATAGGATCTTGGGAGTCCAAATTCTGTCTATTGTTATTGGACAAAGATATTCTAACACAAAAAGCTAGAAAAAGCCAGACAAAATAGTAGTACATGTATAATCCTAACTATTGAAAAGGCTAAGATTAAGAGGACCAAAGTTCAATAATGTCAGATGGGGCAAAAACTGGGCTTATTGGCGTAGGCGTCTTTCATCCAGCTACTTGGGCAGAGTAAATAGGAGGATCGCTATTCAGACCAATACAGACATAAACAGAAGATCCTCTTCAAACAGTAACGAAGCAAAATGGGTTGGATGTATGGCTCAGGAAGCAGGCCTTAAGTGCAAACCCCAGAACTGTAACAAAGAAAAAAATGATATAAAAGATTTGGCCCACTGGCTCACACCTGTAATCCTAGCTACTCAGGAGGCTAAGATCTGAGGATTGTGGTTCAAAGCCAGCAAGGACAGGAAAGTCCATGAGACTCTTATCTCCAATAAACCACCAGAAACTGGAAGTGGCCCTGTGGTTTACGTGGTAGAGCTTGCCTTGAGCTGAAGAGCTGAGGGACAGCGCCTAAGTAAAGAGATCAAGGCCCACGACCAAGAAAAAAACAAAACACACAGACACACAGACACACACACACACAAGATTACACATAGGCTTAGCCTTATAAATTTTAATAGCAATAGCTACTATACATGAAATGTGTACTATTAAGAAATGTACATGAAAGTGTCTACTTTTCACTTGGGGATATTTGCTTTTCCTGTTCTGGGGTTTGAACTGATGGCCTCATGCTTACTAAACAGGTATATTACCTACTACTTGAGCCATTCCCCATCCCTTTTGCTTTAATTTCCCGGGTAGGATTTGGGGGAGGAGTGGAGTTTGCTTGGGTGGTCTTTTCAATTATGCCTCCCCAAGAGATGTGATGGTAGGCTTATTGGCTGAAATTGGGTTTCACTAACTTTTTGCCTGGGCTAGCCTTAAATGTTCCATCCTCCCAATCTCTGCTTACCAGTAGCAGAGATTACAGTTGTGAGCCACCATGCCCAGCCTTTTTCCATATTCTTTCTTTCTTTCGTCAGTCGTGGGGCTTGAACTCTGGGTCTGGGTGCTGTTGTCCCTCAGTTCTTCAGCTCAAGGTGAGCACTCTACCACTTCAGCCACAGCACCACTTCAGGCTTTTTTTGTTTATGTGGTGCTGAGGAATCGAACCCAGGGCCTCATGCATGCAAGGCAAGCACTCTACCACTGAGCCACCTTCCCAGCCCCTTTTTCCATTTTCTTACACACACCCCCCCTTGCTACAGCACCTGCTTAGTTCACATGAGCCTCGCACCAAAAAATAAAAATGTTAAAAGGTAGACTTTGTGTAAGTTACAATAAGTTACCAGAATCAAGTAAGTGCTTAAATAATAGAAATTTACTTATTGATCTTATACTGGTTTTAGAGACAGAATTGCAAATGAACAGCCTATTAAGACATACAGTAGAGTTTGAACAAGTATCTGCCCCTACCCCCAAACTGGTTAAGACTGTGTTGTTAGTCTCCTCAAGCATGAAAAGAATGCTTAGTCCCAGAGTTCAAGCCCCACGACCGACAAAAAAAAAAAAAAAGAATGCTTAGAAGTTCACCCAAAAGTTAGGGCACATTTGGGACTTCTTTTAAAGCAGGATGTATGCCTGAAAAAAGCTTTCTCAAAAGTAAGTCTTAATTTATTCTTAAGAGGAAGTTGCGCTGTAGCTCAAGTGGTAGAGCGCTCGCCTTGAGCTGAAGAGCTGAGGGACAGCGCCCAGGCCCAGAGTTCAAGCCCCACGACCGACAAAAAAAAAAAAAAAATTATTCTTAAGAGTAAAATGCACACTCCTCAATGGGGAACTAAGTTGAGATATTACAGCACAGGAAGAAGCATGAAGCATGTAAGCGCATGAATTTCCTTCCCATGACCAGGAAGGCTGGGCAGGGAGGGTAGAAAAGAGGGAAACTGCTTGTACTCTGGAATCTTCAGGACCCGTCTTCCCAACCCGCATGGCCTTCCTGTACCTCTGCATAAAAATAAAGCTTTTGCCCTTGCATCAGTGTTTTCCAGCTAATCCTTCTGGCAGAGGTGTTAAGGACTCGTGGGTGCATAACAAGATTATTGTGACTGAAAAGTGATGTAATTTATTACAGACAACGTGGCCAGTAAGTGACCCAGCCAGACTGAATATAGATTGCCCAACTTCAAATGCAGAAGTGAAAACTACTGCTCATGACAGACCTGATGAGCAATAATGCTATCTCAGTAAATTATGATTAGTAAACTTATAAATACATTACCCTAAATACACACAACACTGCCCAAGGGTAAATTACTCACTGTTGACTGAATTAAGTCCAGATTCCTTATCTGGCTTCAAATTTATCAATATCCACACCACTTTCTTAAGCAATCCTGTATATAACCATTAATTATACTCACAATGGGGGCTGGGAATGTGGTTTGGTGGTAGAGTGCTTGCCTAGCATGCATGAAGCTCTGGGTTCCATTTCTCAATACCACATAAACAGAAAAAGGCAGAAGTGGTGCTGCAGCTCAAGTGGTAGAGCACTAGCCTTGAGCAAAAGAAGCTCTGGGACAGTACCCAGGCCCTGAGTTCAAGCCCCAGGACAGCCCACCCTCCCTCCCCCCCAAAAAAAATTATACTCAAAATAATTCTCCAAGCTGGGTGCAGCTAGGAGAACAATTGGGAGGCTAAGGCATCTCAAGTTTGAAGACAGCCTGAGCTAATTTTCAAGTTCCAGGTCAGCCTGGATTACATATAGACTTTGATGATGATGATAATAATAATAATAATAACAAAGGGGGGCTAGGAATGTGGCATTCATCTATACCACATAAACAGAAAAAGCTGGAAAAGTGGCAATGTGGCTTTAGTGGCAGAGTGCTAGCCTTGAGCAAAATGAAGCAAAAAAGAAAGGGAAGGAGGGGAAAGTGCCCAGGCTCTGAGTTCAAGCACCAAGACTGGCAAAAAATAAAAAGAGAAAAAAGGAAAAAGGGAAGGGAAGGGGAGGGGAGGGGAGGGGAGGGGAGGGAAGGGAAGGGAAGGGAAGGGAAGGGAAGGGAAGGGAAGGGAAGGGAAGGGGAGGGAAGGGGAGGGAAGGGAAGGGAAGGGAAGGGAGGGGAAGAGGGGAGGGGAGGGGAGGGGAAGAGGGGAAGGGAGGGGAGGAGAAGGGAGGGGAAGGGAAGGAAAAGGAAATAGGAGGGCACCACTGCTCCTCTCTGTAATCCAAGGTAGGCAGGAAACTGAGATTAGGAGGAACAGAGTTCCAGGCTAGTGTTAGGTTTTTAAAAAGAGGTGGCCGAATAAGAACAGCACCACGCAGTGGTATTCAGGTAAGGGGTAGATTTATTCATCGTTCTGGCTGGCACCAGGCCATCTTGGTCCTCCATGCCGTAGGGAGAGGCCTGGGAAAGAGAGCTGGGAGAGCTGGGAGAGAGAGAAGAGCTAGAAAAGAACAGAGAGAGAGCAGAGAGAGAGGAGAGAGCAGAGAGAGCTAGAAAAGAGAAAGGAGCTGGGAAAGAGAAGGAAAGAGCTAGAAAATTGCAGAGAGAGAGCATCTGGGCCTGCGCTAGGCCTTATCTAGGGTATGGGCCGAGAAGGGTGTGGCCACATCAAATTCAGATGTGCCCTCTTCCAGGTGTCCCAGTTCCCTAGGTAACGCAGGCACTGGGTGGAGACTTTGCTGGGAGGAGGGTGGAGTCTGCTCGCCATCCAGGAGCGGACCTTACAGCTAGCCCTGGAAAAAAATTCCAGAGACTCCCATTTCAACCAAGTGGGAAACCTGTGATGCGAGCTACGGCAGAAGTGTGAGGAGGAGGAGGAGGATCCAAATTCAGGCATCCGTGGACATTAGCAGACTGAAAAAAGCAACCAGAGCAAGCCGGGCCGAGGGGTCCTTTCCTGCGGTTCTAGCTGCGCAAGCCCTGGAGGATCTTAGTTCGAAGCCAAGCGTAGGCAAGAAGAGTCTGGGGACCTTCTCCAATGATCCAGTAAAAAGACCAAACACAAGCGGGAGGCGTGGCTTAACTCCCCCCCCACCAACGGTCAACATTCCCGGAGCACCGGCGGGGCCCCAGCCAGGCCCCGTCCCGCCAGGGTCTGCGGGGTCCGGTCCAGGCCCCAGCCAGGCCCCAGCCAGGCCCCGTCCCGCCAGGGTCTGCGGGGTCCGGTCCAGGCCCCAGCCAGGCCCCAGCCAGGCCCCGTCCCGCCAGGGTCTGCGGGGTCCGGTCCAGGCCCCAGCCAGGCCCCGTCCCGCCAGGGTCTGCGGGGTCCGGCGGCCAGGCCCCAGCCAGGCCCCATCCCGCCAGGGTCTGCGGGGTCCGGCGGCCAGGCCCCAGCCAGGCCCCGTCCCGCCAGGGTCTGCGGGGTCCGGCGGCCAGGCCCCAGCCAGGCCCCGTCCCGCCAGGGTCTGCGGGGTCCGGTCCAGGCCCCAGCCAGGCCCCGTCCCGCCTGGGTCTGCGGGGTCCGGCGGCCAGGCCCCAGCCAGGCCCCATCCCGCCAGCGTCTGCGGGGTCCGGTCCAGGCCCCGTCCCGCCTGGGTCTGCGGGGTCCGGCGGGAGGCCGGCGACTCCCCCGCGTGCTTCTCCGCTCGTCCAGCCGCGGCACCCCGTTTACCAACCGACCCCCGGACTCGACAGAGTGCGCCCCCCCCGACCGCACTCGGAGAGCGGCAGGCCTCGAGCTGGGCCTGCTCTGCGTTTCCCGAAGTTTCTGTGCGGGACGGGGGGGGGGGGGGCCCTCAGGGATAACTCGGGGTGCCGGGACCACGCCTCCGAGTCGGACACTTCTCAGGGGCCCCTCGAACACGAGGGGTGGCGTCTCCATCCGCTGTTTGGTGTTCCGTGTCCAGGTGCCGGTCCCGGGGCTCGAACTCGGGGCCTTACCGCTCGCCGGGCTCCGTGGGTGCCAGGCAGGCGTGCTCCTCGAGCCACGCCTTGGGCCCGTCCGATTCGCGGCTCTGAAGCCCCGGACGGCGGGCAGGCCGACGGACGACTCCCGGCCGCCGTTCCGCGCGGCTCGACCCGCGGCGGCGCCTGAGGGGGAAGAAACCTCCGCGGCCGCAGCCGCGCGCCCGCAGTCGGCTTCCACTTGGCTCCTCTCCCCGCCCTCTTCGCACGCGGCCTCTGGATTGGCTGCGCGGCCGCCAGCTCGCGCTGCCATTGGCCAAGAGCCTGCGGGGGGCGTGGGCAGAGAGAGATTCACCCCCGGCGTCCGGAACGCGGAGCGTCCTTTTGTCCGGCTGAGGAGCTCGACCCGGTGCGGCCTGAGCGGCGGCGGCGGCGGCGGCGGACGCGGCCGGCGCAGGTACGCGGCGCCGCGGCGGCGGGCCGAGTGGAGACCGAGCTCCGCGGCGAGGCGTCCGGCTGTGGCAGGAAGCCGTCCGCGGGGTGGTTCTTGAGGGGTCGGAGGAGCGTTGGCGGGCCCCCATCGCGGACACCCCCGCGGACGGTTCCCGCTCTCCGGATAGCCTCGCGACTGGGCCCCCTCCCCGAAGACCCCGCCGCGAACGGTTTCCCCACCCGGAGACCCCGCGGCCAGGTCCCCGCCCCGAGGACCCCCGCGAGCGGCTCCGCACCCGGAGCCCCCTCCGACCGGCCCCACCCCGGAGACGCCCGCGAACGGCTCCCCACCCCGGAGACCCTGGCGGGCTGTCGGGGTCCTTTCTGGCCGGCGGCGGAGTATCAGAGGTACTAGGGGACTTGGTCATTCAAGGTGGAGTATCAGAGGTACTAGGGGACTTGGTCATTCAAGGTGGAGTATCAGAGGTACTAGGGGACTTTTAGTCATTCAAGGCTGGGAGTGTAGCCTGAGTGGTTCAGGGCGTGCAGAAACCTCTGGTCAGACCTCTCACCCCGCGAAGAAGCAAAAAGGAATCAGCGAAAAAGCGCACATATCCATGCACCTCTGAGGAGATTTCCCCTGTAAGGGGATGCTGTGAGTGGACCTCCTTTTTTTTTTAATTTGCCTGGCCTGGGGCTTTGAATTCAGGGCCTGGGCGCTGTCCCTGAGCTTCTTTTGCTCAAGGCTAGCACTCTACCACTTGAGCCACAGCACCACTGTTGATGTGGTATTGAGGAATCGACCCAGAACTTCACTCAACCACTAAGCCACATTCCCAGTCCTGGCCCCTTTATTCTGGTGATGATTAAAGAAAAACATGCAACAAAACCAGTTTTCTAGAGAGTGCAGTTTGGAGGATCAGATTCAGCTGTGGGGCTGATAAGCAGAGGAAGCAACTAATTGCCATTCTGCTTTCCCATGCCACCATCTTAAATCTGCACAGTCAGGGTAACTCTTCTGAAAATGTGAGTTCTGGACTTGTATACCATTAATTTTGTTTTTATTTTTTTTTGGGTCTGGTTGTGGGGCCTGAACTCTGGGCCTGGGCCCTGTCCCTCAGCTCTTCAGCTCAAGGCTAGCACTCTACCACTTGAGCCACAGCGCCACTTCTGGCTTTTTTCTTTTTGCTTATGTGGTGCTGAGGAATCGAACCCAGGGCCTCATGCATGCAAGGCAAGTGCTCTACCACTGAGCCACCTTCCCAGCCCTATACCATTAATTTTTACCAAAAAAAAAAAAAATCATCTCCTTAATAATGCCTTGCCTTCCAACAGGACTGCTTCCTGTTCTCAAATTTCCCACTAAAAGCATCCCTATGATGGTTATCTCCACAGACATGCATTCAATATTTGCCCTATCATTTACCCTGAGAAATTCCTGTTAAGGAATTTGACACCAATTTATGTATACTTATTCTAGACTGTAACTCAGTTCTGTTTTGTTGTACCAGTACTGGAGCTTGAACTCAGGGCCTCAAACTTAGGCATGTTTTTTTTTCCACTCAGGCCTGGCACTCTACCATTTGAGTACAGCTCCACTTAAGGTTTTTTTGTTGGTTATTTGGAGGTAACAGTCTCACGGACTTTTCGTCCCAGGCTGGCTTCAAACTGTGATCCTCAGATCTGAGCCTTATGAGTAGCTAGGATTACAGGCATGAGGCACCAGGTTCTTAAAACTGGTTTCTTTAGGATTTTGTCACACCTGTAGCTGCTTAGTGATCTGTGACATTCCTATTTGCCGAAGAAAAGGAGATGATTTATGTAACAACCTATTCAAAACACAAAAGGAGCATCTAAATGAAGCACCAAGTATATACACGGAATTCAGTTCTTATGAGCTGTGCCTTTCATCCTAGCTTGCTTATACCTTACTCATTTTTAGAACTGTTGGTGGGATCGAACCTCATTAATCTACTTAATTCTCAGTATTATCTCCATGTATCTGCAGACTATGTAACACAAAATTGAGTTCTGTCACAACAGAAGAGCATGAGCAGTGTATTATTGAAAAGATGTATGTGGTCCATGGACTGCTGCGATCGAGATTCATCTTGAATTTTTCTGTTCTTGTTTTATCCACCTTGTACCTTGTATCAGTCTTTAGTACCACCATATGTCCTTATTACTGGAATTTCAGGTGTATGTCTCCATTCCCAATTTAAACTTGCCCAAATTGGCTTCCAGTGGTGACAGTGGTGATTCTCCCATTGGATGAATTGTTAAAGAGATTATCTTTTCTTGTGTTGTTGGTTGTGGGGCTTGAACCCAGGGCCCAGGCATTGTCCCTGACCTCTTTTGCTCAAGGGTAGCACTCTACCACTTTGAGCCAAAGCACCACTTCCTGTTTTTTTGGAGGTTAATCCGTGCCTGGATTGGCTCAGAACAGCAGTCCTCAGATCTCAGCCTCCAGAGTAGCTAGGATTACAGGCATCAGCCACCAGTGCCTGGCTAAGAGAGATGGTCTTTAAACAATATTAAGAGAGTAATGGTAGGGCTGGGAATATAGCTTAGTGGTAGAATGCTTGCCTAGCATGCATAAAGCCCTGGGTTCCATTCCTCACTACCACATAAACAGAAAAGGCCCGAAGTAGTGCTGTGGCTCAAGTCGTAGAGTGCTAGCCTTGAGCAAAAGAAGCTCACGGACAGTGCCCAGGCCCTGAGTTCAAGCCTCAGGACTGGCAAAAAAACAAAGGAGTAATGGTTGAAGAAATGATAATAAGTACTATTGTAATCAATTTAGGGAAGACCAAGGTTAGATTGATAATTCCAGTACAAAATACTGTGTAAGAAAGAATTCCAGCTACTCATTAGGATCTAGCCCAGCGCCAGTCAAGTGATAAAGTGCCTTCCTCCACCATTTGTAAGGACCTGGGTTTAATCCATAGGCTATCACAGATAAAAACAAACAACAAGAGTTGGGGACAACTCAATTGGTAGAGGGCTAGTCCAGCATCCATATGGCTTTGGTTTTAGTCCTTATCATTTAAATGAATGAATGGATGTGGGAGTGTATTTAACAGGTTTTTAGAGAATAAGTTGCTGAAATTAGTTTAAGATAATTGCCAGTAGGCATTTGAGAGTCTGAAAAGTAACACCTGTATTTCATTAGAACACTTTTACTAACTTTGTACTAGTACTTAGATAAACTTTGCTAATCTAACAGCAACGTTCTCCTAGTGTTTATATAATGCTGCTTTTATTAGTCCACGGAATAATGTGTGTTCCTGGAATTAACCTTTACATGGCACAAATGGGTCTCTAAAAAGGTCTTATTTTGTTGACCATTACCTGTTACGGCACTTGTCTCTGTAATCCTAACTACTAAGATCTGGAGGATCTGTTTGAAGCCAGCTCGGCAGAAAAATCTGTGTGACTCCATCTCTAAAAATAACTAGCAAAAAGTCAGGCTGGAAGAATGCTTCAAGTAGTAGAGCACCAGCTGTACACGCAAGTGGAACAAGCACGAGGCCCTGAATTAAGAGCCTGAAAAGAGAAAAATGGGCTTTTATTTCAACACTTGAACAAGAACAACCAATCAAAGCCAGAGTGGAAAGGAATAATGACAATGATGAAATGGAATACTGTTAATACCAAGCTAACAAGGCAGAGTAAGTGCTTTGAAAATTTCACTAAACTATCAAAAAAGAAAAGCAGCACTGTCGGTTGTAAATGTAAATAGAGACTACTATGAAAAATTTATGCTGATAAATCTGAAATTGAAGAATAACTAAAATTAACAGAGTAAGATAGATAAAATATGACTGGTTATATCTATTTAAAAATTCAAGCTGGGTGCCAGTGGCTCACCCCTGTAATCCTAGCTACTTAGGAAGCTACGATCTGAGGATCACAATTCAGAGCCAGCCGGGGTAGGAAAGTCCATGAGACACTTAACCACCCAGGAAAAAAAAAACCGGAAGTGGCGCTGTGGCTCAACTGGTAGAGCACTTGCCTTGAACTGAAGAGCTGAGGGACAGTACCTAGACCCAGAGTTCAAGCCCCATGACTGAAAAAATAAAAAAGACAAAAAGTTCATCCAGGTATAGGTGACTCACACCTGTTGTAATCCTAGCTACTTAGGAGGCTGAGATCTGAGGAGCATAGTTTGAAGCCAGCCAGGGCAGGAAAGTCCATAGGACTCTTATTCCAATTAACTAGCAAAAAGCTGGAAGTGGATGTATGGCCCAAGTGGTGGGGCTCTAGCCTTGAGCACAAAAGGTCAAGCACAGCACCCATGTGCTAACTTCAAGCCCCAGAACTGGCATAAAGTGAGGTTTGAGCAGAAAAAACAAGCGAGGGTGAGTTCAAGGCCAGGTACCAACATGTATATGTGCGTGCGCGCGCGCGCGCGCACACACACACACACACACACATACACGTGCACAAAGCCATATGACATCCCCTAACCCATATGGCTTTTAAGAACAGATAGAGTATGTTGGGCAGATAATGTTGGGCAGGTACACAGGATCAAGGATAATTCTTGTCCCAGGAAGAATTAAGTGGGAGACCACATGGTTTCATCGTGCTTCTCAGAATCACGTGCAATCTAAAACTTCATCCATGTCTAACAGTTATAATCTTACCTACTCAGAAGGCTGAGATCTGAGGATCAGGGTTCAAAGCCAGACCACGCAGGAAAGTCCATGAGACTCTTACCTACAATTCACCAGAAAGCTGGAAGTGGAGTTGTGGCTCAAGTGTTAAAGCACTAGCCTTGGAGCCAAAAGAGCTAGTGACAGCACCCAGGTCCTTTGTTCAAGCCCCAGGATTGTCACAAAAAGAAACAACAGCCAGGTATTGCTGACTCACATCTGTAATCCTAGCTACTCAGGACTCAGATCTTAGGAAGCCAAATGGAAGCCGACCCAGGCAGGAAAGTCTGTGAGATTCTTATTTACAATTAACCACCAAAAAATAAATTAATAAAAACCAGAAGTATAGCTGTGGCTCAAGTAATTGGTA